CATTACATATTTATATTAATACTAAAAATTATATTTATTTATTTAATAATGATAGTGACAAAGTAGTGAAATTCTATGTATACAAAATTGCTAACGACACCGATTGAATCTATATACAAAGCGACTATTTTATTTATATGAATACATATATATGTATAAAATATTTATAATAGTTTAAGTTAAATGTACTAATTATTTTAATACAATATAAGAAAAGATATTTCTGTTAATAATAATAGCACCTAAATAATTAAATTTATTAAAAAACAAGTAACTTAATAATTTAAAAATCTATTAGTATTAAAAAAAAATTAACTAAACAAAAAACAATTTATATTAGAAATATTACAGTGAAAAGTGTTGTTTTTGTAATTTTACTATAATTTTTTTTAATAGTTTTATTTATTTTTGTTAAAGTCTTGAATCTATTTTTTTATTCTAGTATTTTCATTGGGTACATTCGGTTGAAGTATTTGTTCTAGTTTTGTCATAACTAATATATAATATATAACTTTTATTTATAACTAATAAATATGGTTACCAAAAACCTAGTAAAATATAAAATTTCCATTAATTTTATTCATTATTTTTAGAAAATATTTAGCAATATAAAAAATTAGTTTAAATTAATATAGATAAATGCATTTGATTTTTGTAATTTTATACAATTTTTAATTTATTTGTTAAGAAATATTGTTTTGGCACTTGATTTGTTTACAGGTTTTAATTTTTTCAGCTTAAGTTTTTCATATTAAAATTTGGTGGTACGGAAAATGATTAATTTTTATTTTAAATATATAAAAAAATGCACTATTGACTTGTAAATTTCAGAAATGAAAACTTACTGGGTCAGAATAAATATTTTCATTTATAAAAATTTGACCTGTTTCGTGTTTGTCTATGTATATATTGAGACTTTTTCGAGTTAGTGCATCTGGATACTTTTACTCTTTGATAAATGGGGGGTTTCTGCAGATTGAAATTATAATTTTGTTTTAACTTTAAGATATAATAACTTGACTCTTTTAGCAGATACTTAGATACTTTTCTAAGATCAGTAGTAAGTCATGTTTACAATGCGGACTTTATTGCCTAAATTTGCGAAATCTCCAAATAGGGAATATGTATTATATTTATTATTTATATATATCATTAAAAAAATTAAATACATAAGGTATATATATATAACATATAGTAATAAGTATGACTCATAACTTGAGTGGCACTATTAAAGTTTTTTCGCATTTGAATAACAATAGTTTAAAAAAAATGTATATATAATTATTTTAACTTATATTCTTTTTGTGCAGTTTATGTGAAGATATAAGCCCTTATATTGATTTAATTTTAGCTCAATTACGAAGTTATTTTTTACTGAGTCATTTAAAGTAAATCTGGTTATGATATATAAAAGTAAAAAAGTAGTAAATATTAATTGAATGTCTTTAAAGTAGTGTGATAAACTTGAAATAATTCCAACATTATTTTTATATATATAAAAGTAAATAATTTTTATAATTGCAAAATCTTATTACAGTGTAATAGGGTAAACAATGAAATTAAGGTGATATAATTGGTAACGTAAATAGGCTTAACAATATAGAGATTATTATGCAGAATATAAATGCTATCTCAGTTAAATTATCTAATATCGCATCACTATTTTTGGCAATCTAGTGCGAAATGCTTTAAACAAACTTTAAATCAGCATTTTTGGTGCACTTTCCCATGTAATACGAAATGTAAGTGCTCCGAGTAAGCGGGGAGAAGCGCTTATTTTTAATTAACTGGCAACCTGTAAATATATGCGCTATCCGCATGGAGAGTGATGCGCTTTATAGCTTCTTAAGATCCCTTTAATAGCGTTATTCAGGCTGTTATACAGCTCTTAATCTGGTTAAACAATAACTAATTGTTTGTGAACACTCATAAGAACCATAAAATTGATCATTCTCTACTTGGTACACTCAAGTCTATTTCTTTATTGTTTATTTTGAATACAGACAAATTAAAAGAAATATAAATATTATATTAATCTTATATTTAGTAATTTTTTTACTGCTGTTGAATTAAGTTTAAAAAAAATGGTATTTAGTTCCTTCTGATATAATAAAATCATTCTAAAATTCTGTATAAATCGGTTTTTGAATGTATATTTATGTAAAATTCTGTGGGTCTATGTTTCTCTTTATTTTTCAAGATTTTTATATTTGTTTTTCAATTTTGAAATTTTCATTTGTAGATATTGTCGCGCACTTTTGAAATAAAAAAAGATATATTGTTTCTGAAATGTCTATATAATATCTATATAGTCTTTTTTATTAACTTTTAGCTTTTGTTATATATTTAGTTGCCGAATACAAACTAGTTTTTTTTCTTAATTACAAATGTTTAACTATGGACAAATAATTATTAAAATAATATTAAACAAAATTTAAAAATATATAAAACAAAAAAAAAAACTTTAATTACAGTATTACTTAAATAAAAAAATTTAACAAACACGTACAAATATAGTTAAAAATACATTATTATATATTGCGTTATGTTAATATAAAATTTTACATAGTTTTATATAATTTTTATATATGAAATTAATTTCATAATTATGATTTCTAATTATTGAAGTAATTAAAAGCGAGTTTAATTTTTTTTCTTTCTTTCTCTAAGCTTATACAAAAAATTATTACATTCCAAAAATTGTGGCCATACAAAAGTGATGATATACATATATTTGTTAGTTAGTGGTCTTAATTAATTACTTAATAGATTTAACAATAATAATAGTAATAATAATTATAATAATATTTTTAATTTTTATTCACAATTTATGTAAAATACGTTTATATGTTAAAATATTAAATATTTGTTCCTTGATTGGCGAGATTTCTACAATTGTTTTAATTTGTTTTTTCTTTTTTTTTTTAACTTTATAATTTTTATAAAATAGTGTTCGAGTTGGTTCCAACTTAGATTATGCATTACTTCTTGATATATATTCTATACGTTTTTCTATATTTTGTTATTCATATATAAGTTTTAAATGTATAATATCAGCATTTGTTTTATTTATTCGTTTAAGTTTCTGCGCTTTGTAATTACATTCCTGACTCCGCAATGCCCTCATCATCTGTAATATAAAAAAGAAATATTAAAACAATTTGAAAATATCTAAACTTTTAACAAATACATGCTACATCTATCATATGTATATATATACATAAATATATATTAAGTTTTATATATTTTTTTTTAAATGGTATGTTGTTAAACTATTATTTGAGATTATTAATACAAATATTAATATAATTCTAATAATTATATAGTTTTAAATTTTATGAAGAATTAAAAGTTTTTCTTTATTTATTTTTATTTTACATTAGTGTAAATTAATTTACATTACTCTATTTATCTTATAAAATCAAAGTTTATTTAGTTTAGTTGATTTAGTAATTATTTAGTTCAATAACATGCTATAAAAAAATATTGTCAATATTCCTCAATTTACAGACTAACATATTTGTATATCAAATTAATATCCTTAATTTAATATTGTTGATAAAAATGATAATAATATAATAACACTAATTATGATACCTAAAACCATAAAAAAAATCATAATAATAATAATGATTATAATCTAATAATAAAAACCATTCTACTAATTATAATCATAATAATAGCAATTATAAACTCAACCATTAACATTAAATGGGACATTATTATACATATTAACATTAAAAGTACTATAATGATTCCTGTCATATTTTAGAAATAATTTTAAATAGTGGACGGAACTATATGCTTTGTAATCGACTAAGGTATTTTAAAAATATGCACATTTTTAACCAGGGATAAATGACTGAATATTAAAACATAGAATTCAATAGAAATTATAATAATAATAATAATTACATTAATAATAATAATTACAATAATAAAAATAATAATAATCATTACAATAACTATAATAATACTAATTTTGATTATAATTAGAATTCCAATAAAAGCTCATGTATTAATAATAATTGATATCATAAAAACTACAAAAATAATAATCATAATAACATTAATAATAATAAAAATTATCATTATTATAAAAGTAACTAGAACAGTAATAATTATAATTATAACAAAAATAATAATTCTTTATTATTATGCTCTTATGTTTAGTAAAATGAAAAATGTCTCTTAGGTAAAGCTAATGAAAATATAAGCATATATGTATATTAATTAAGCATAAAACAACAAAAAACTTAAAATCAACATTTTTAATATAATAAAAATTTGTACAAACCCATAAATGGATTAGCGTATATAATGCCACCATTTTCACCGACACCACCACCATTACTACTACAGGTGGCATTACCAATTTTACCAGCGATACCATTAATAGCAATATTTTTATGCATTTTTGTGCTGAAGCGTTCACCGTCACCAATCAGTGTTGCAATATCATCCTCGTCGTTGCGTGTATTACAACTGCTTCCCAAAAACTGATCATAGCAACTAACATCCGTACTAATAACATCCACTTCATCGTCATCCTTTTCCAGACTATTACGATTACTACCACCCATTGAGCTGTGCAATGCATGTGATTCCTCGTAGCTACCACCGCCACTGTCATCGTTTGCATTATTCGATGCTTCGATATGTGTCTCGAATTCATCATCAAACAATTCTTCATCAACTTCTAGTGAACGACGTCGGAAAACATCATCTTCAAGATCTGCTTCATGTCCGGAGCCAGAACCACCAGAACCACTAACTGAGACAGATCCGACGCCACCACCACTTCCACCATTTGTAACAATAATTATATCCTCTTCTGCAAAACTAAGTCGTGCATTGGTTGCACTGCCAACACCACCAGCGCTGCTACTGCTACTTCCAGCTATGCTTCCGCGTCCACCACCATTAATGCTGCCATTCGTACCATTATTAACAATTATTATTTCATGACTTAGACTATTTTTTATATCACAGGACGATGCACTAAACGTTATGAGCTGCGATTTGCGTCGACTTTGTAGTGTATTATGTCCATTAGTTATTGTATGTTGTGTGCCATTACTATTTCTTCCCATTATTCCATTACTGCCACCGATGCTAATAACATCGATTGCACCCTCTTTGCAGATCATCGAACTGGGCTTGTTGTCAACCAGAACGATAACTACAGAGTTATTGTTATCGCCCTGGTTGACTGAATGTCATCTATCGTTCCCATCTGTGTTATATGTCTGTGGAGCAGTGCCAACGCCGAATGAGCTCATGGATGCACTGTGTGCTGCACCACCAAATCCTGTCAATGGTTGCTGATCATTATGTATGATACCAGCGTTTTCATGATCAATTTCTTCAGCTTCTTCTGGTTGTAGTTCATGCATTTCGTTATGTCCTTCAATTGTGGCGATTATCTCACCATTTTCGTCAAATTGTGGTTGTTGTCCTAATGTATTTTAGTGCATTTGCAATGGCGTTGATTATGTGGAGTTGTTGTGGAAATTGACAGTTAAAGTGAATATGTGTGTGTTTGTGTTTGTTTGTTTGTTAATGCCATAAATTTGTTTAAGTTTTGTAAGAAAATGCAAGAAAAGAGAAAAATAGTTCGCCATTGTTAGTTACTTCTTAAGCCCAACACCTTAGATTATCTATACATATTTTATAAATTGCTAAATCATAGAACCAAAGAAATATAATATATAATAATCGACATAGAAAATAAGCAGACTCCTCTCATAGCTTTTGGTTTAATTAAGTTCTTATTATTTTATAAGCTATAATAAGTTGGTTTTAACTAAGATTAAAGAATAATTTTACATACAAATTATACGAAATTCGAATTCATTCATTCAAAATTTATCAAAAACCTATCGTTTAACCTTTACTTTCCCCTTCAATTGAATGAGGGTTTTCGAAAAACCGTTTGTAGTCTATATGCATATACAATACACATTTTCATATTAAATATTTATAAAGTGTAGACTCGTAAAACCTTCAACCTTCAACTCATTAATGTATACTATCTTCCTGTAATCTCAGAAAATTGTGACTATAGATAATATTCATATAATCTCGGTGGAGATAAAATTACGTATCTATATTTTATAATAGAAAAAAATTTTGTTTTTCTTAATTTATCTGTAGTAAAATGTAAAAATTATGCGAATTGCATTTGATAATCCCACCAAAAACTATGAAAAAAGCTTAAATATCCAAAAAGGAGAGAGAAAGAAAAAATATATATATATAACCAAAGAAAACTTATATTTATAAAAAAGCAAAATTAATGTGTAATGTTTTAAGATGAGTTTACCTTCATAGCCCTCATTATCATGTATTTCACGCGCTGGTCCTACTATATTTTCCTTACCCTCCAACACAGCCAATAGACATTGGTAAATGCAGATATATTGTTGCTCAGTTTGCACCATCCAAACACGTTCTAAGATTTAATTTTTAAGTCAATGAAAAATATGTTAAAAAAAGCTAGTAATGAAACAAACCTTTACGCATAGCATAGACAATACCAAAGATATCAACAAAATCGGAAGTTTTTATTTGCTGCAATATGCGATCCAGTGTTATAAATGTACCGGAACGGCCAACACCTGCACTGCAATGCACAACTATTGGACGCTGATCGGTACCAATACGATCGCGGAAAGCACGCACAAAACGTACAAGTGTTTGTGGTGGATTCGGTACACCAAAATCTGGCCATGTTATGAAATGGAAATGGCGTAATATACGTTGTTCACTTCCCTAAATTTAATAAAGTCATAAAGTCATAAATCAGTTATCAAAATTCAAACTGAATATTTATTTACCCTGCATAACATAAATTCTGTCATAACCCAATCTGCGTAGTGACTATCATTGAGTATTTGCACCTTTATATCACCATAAAAGACTGGCACCGTATCGTTTGGCCAATATTGATCGCATTTTTCACGTCCCTTTTCAAAGCAACGCGTTAACATCACAATTGCTCGTGAGTTGCTTTCCCAACACATACGCCAGAAATCATCACGTGTGGAATGTAAAGGTCCTTGTGTTACGATAAACTCGCGTGGAGAATTATGTCCGGGTACATAGTTTGCATTTATGTAGTCAGAGCCCTCATCATCATCGACAGGTTGCAGTTTGAAACGTGAATGATCATAGGGTAAAATATTCGTGAACCGATTCTTAGGTCGATTGCAAGGTAAATCAGCAAAAGTGCAGGGCTGATCACGGCCAACATGTTTAAGTTCTTCAAATTCTTCGCTAAAGCGGAAATCTGAGTCGGCTGACATAAGACGATAGTGTTCAGCGAAGTTCTTGATGAGGATCGGTCGATTTTGTTCGATAACACTGTCAGGGATCGACATGTTGTCATTGGCACGTGAGTCTTTTGTGGTTTTCCTACAGCTGTTACGACGTCTTTTGTAAAAGATGAGCGTCACGAGTAGTATGAGAATAATGGTTAATGGAACAGTAATAGCGACGATCAATGAGGTGTTATCTTGATCTGTTTAATATGAGAAAAGATATGAATATCAGCAAGAACCGCAAAGATAATAAGTAATATGATATGAATGATATAATTAAGTTTTAGCCTATGAGACCACATGTAAACCGACAATCGGAAAGACTCTTTAATGTATATTAACTTACCAGGTGATGATAAGAGATCTTTAAATAAAAGTATTCGTTTAGCAAGACATAGGAATAAGAATTTGAAAAAATTGTAGATACTTGTAAATGCGCATTCATAAATTTTTACAAATGTACATATTTGGTCAGAAAATGTTCTATATACAAAAAATAAAAATTCATCTTAAGCTCTTACCTGTTTGTATGGGAAAACTGTAAGCAGTATCCGTAAACTTATCAGGTGCAGTAAATGCTCGCACTTTAACTCTATAAGTAGTGCCTGATTTAAGTGCTCCATTACAGTAGCCGATTTTGCGGTTATCACAATTTTCAGTGCCAATTGTGAAATCTTCAACCGAACGATTTTCAAAGGGATAATATGGATCTATAGCTTGATATGGTAACCACACACTATAAGATTGTACATCATGCCAACTTGGCATTTCTAGACCAGATGCATTTTTAGTATCATCCTCCGCAACAATGATTGTATACCAACGCACCTTAACGCAAAAAAAAAAAAATTAAAAAAGATCTAACCAAACGAAAAAAAGTCTTTTACCTGTCCATTCTGATCGGAGAAGTAATTTTTGCGGAAACGTATTTGTATTGTAGACGAACTTCGGTAAACTTCGGTTGGTACTACTTGCGTTGCAGGTCTTGGTGGGGCTAAGATTGGCATAGTTTGTTTATATTCTCTTTCCGGTCCATAACCAATAGATGTTTTGGCTTGTATTTTGAATATGTATGTTTCACCAGGTTTAAGACTTCTAACTGCCCCAGTTGTCTCGCTAGAATCATAATCTTGAGTCCTCGTTTCAGACATGTTATTAACATTTGTATATGTAATTGAGAATTGTCTTATAACACCATTTGCTTCACTTGATGGCAGCAACCACTCGAAAACTACTTCACTTGGCTGTACATCGATGGGGTGGAAACGTTCAACACGACCAGGCACAGCTTCGTTGGTGCTAAAGCTGGCAGATAATGGTGAACTACTACGTAGTACTGAAGACTCTGTACCAGAACGTACAACAACAGTGAAAGTATAATTACGATGTGGTCGTAGGTCAATTATTGTTATCTCATTTCGTGTGGTAACATTTTGTGCGAGTATATTGTCAGCGGTTAAATATTGCACATCAAAATCGTTGTACTCTCCCTTTGGTATATCCCATTTAAGCGAAATTTCTGTGTCGGTAATATTCGTAGCATGTAATTGTGTAATCGGTTCAGGGAATAAGCGATCTTGCCTTTGTATTGGCAAACTAGAAACACCGCCACTAACGGTCCAAACTGTAATATTGTACAAACGTCCTGGTATGAGACCAGTGAAAGTAACCTTGCGATCAGTATCATTGGCAAGTTTTTCCTTATCTTTAATTTCAGGATCTCCCAATGAGAATCTATATATATCGAATTTAGATGAAGATTGAGGAGTAGGTGTATACGATAGGGTTATGGTATCTCGCTCATCTTCTTGCTTATCATTAACAACAACTACTTCAGATTGTATGAGAGGCATTGTACGTGTAGACAAATGAGTAGTGCCTGAATAAATTCCATATGATGTCGTTTGTATATCAAACTTATATTGCACACCAGGCATGAGGTCACCAATCAATACTCGCACTGTGGAATGATCATCGGCTGAAAGTTTGATAAAAGTTAGAATAAGATAAGAATATTATATATTATAATAAAATATTTATTTAGAGACAAACCTGATTTATTTTCTGACACATTTTTCGTTTGTGTTTTTGTGGGATTATCAGTAGGCCACCATTTTAGTATATATGATTCTACACGACCTTCTGGTTTTGGCCATTCCAAAGTGATATTTCGAGAATCCACCAAGGGTATAATATTTGAAACTGGATTAGGAGGCACAGTTGTATTCACTTCTTGTGGTGTTGGACTCTCGACACCGAAACTAATCGTATTCACTTGTATTGTATATTTTTCACCTTTCGTCATGTTGGAAATATCAGCTTCAGTCGAACGTACACTTGGTAAGCGCACCCATTGCTGTTCACTATCAGTGCGGTAACGTATAAAATACTCAGTGTAATCACTATTTTCTGGTGGTGACCAACGTACTAATACAGAATTACTACGTACGGTCTCGATCGTCATATTACGCGGTGGATTAGGATCTAAAAAATAAAAAAGACTATTATTAAGAATAAACAAAGAATTAATAAAAAGAAAATGCTTACAAACTGCTTGGAAATAGGAATGTGGTTCACTTCTTAAACCATGGCTTACAGCAAAAACTTTAACTTCATAACCAGCACCAGGATGCAAATTCTTTATAACTAAACGTGAGTCTTTAGTTAAAACTGTACGCACTTCTGAAGTACCATTACGCGAGTAGAGCACTTCAAATTGTTCTTGCTTAGAGTTCACATCACTCTTCCAGCTGATGTTTAGACCAGATTTAATACTTTTCAGATCTTCAATTATAGGTGATGAGGGACGTGTTACAACATATATTGCAGTTTCATTAGATTCCATTTTTTTAGAAACGGCTTGCACAGATAGTGAGTAATTACGACCTGGTAGTAAGCTTTCAAGATTGAAACGAGTGCGATCGGTGGTTAAAGTACTCGTATCACCATTAAAGGTCTCCAACTCATGATAGCTGCAATTTAAGTAATAATTATTTTAAATAATATAATAATATTAATCTTGTACATGTTTTATATTATGTTATTTATTTTACAGGTCAGCTCAAGTGAAAATAAAGATTCTGAGAATTACTATGATATTATTCCTAAAGATTGTATTTGGTTATGCTTATATATAAAAATATATATTTTTTTTTTTAAAGAGGATATATATATAATTAACCGAGTAGTTTGCTAACTATATTATACCCTACGAATCAATTGTGGTATCACTGCTTAACACGGGATATTAACTGATTTCGACTATCGAACCATTTCGATGCTCTTATAAAGCGCTGTGTATTTTCAGTCTTAATACTGGACACTGATCTGTGAAAACTAAAGACAAGAAAACTTTAACTAAGAAGTTTATCATGGTTATTCTTCGGGTTGGGCAGGTGCAATAAAGTGACAGGTAACAGGAAACTTCTAGCTTTAGGGGTTACTATCAAATAGCCTGTGGCTGGTTATATAAGCTTCGAACTTAGAGATATCTTGGTAGGCTGAAAAGGTCTCTCGAAAAGGAAAAGGTATTTTTGCTATCAAAAGTGGGTATGTTAAAAAAACTATATACATCACACGTAAAATTTAGATATAAATATTTCTAAATAAACCGGTTTTTGAATTGCACCAAAGGTTCACAATTGGTAGTAGTTCTATAAAACACATCGGTATAAAAAAGACTGATTTTCAAAATTGTTTCTTAAGAATATTTGAATTATATGTAAAATATTTTATTTCATAATTTTATTTTTTATATTAATTTTGATATGTAATTCATATGCGAAGGATTCCAGATTAAAGTGCAATTCAACACTACATTTTCGGAACTGTCACTCTAATAATACGACAATGCTCATATTTTTCTTATTTGGTTTTTTTTATAATCTTAAGAATTAAAAAAATTATTTAAACAGTGTTAAACTGTAATAAACGAAATGTATATAAAAATGAAAAACTATTGAAAACTTACACAATGCGATATTCATCTTGTGTACTCGCTGGGTCCGGTTCGAAGGTTATAATCATTGAATTTGCTTCATCGTTTAATGCTCTCAAATTACGCACTGGCAATGGTCTTAATGTGACATCACCAGTTGCTGGCCATGAAGTTACTTTTCCTGAAACCGTTTTCACAATGACATTAAACGTTTTGCCCGGTTCCATAATATCCCGAAAATCGAAATACGCTACCGGTTCATTTGTTCGCGATACAGGCGATTGGCGACGTGACGTAGCTAATGACACTTGGTATTTATCAAATTCTGAAACGCCTTTCGGCTCATCCCATTGCACACGGAATGAATTCGATGTTATGTAGTCTTTGTCGAAGGTAACATTCTGCGGACGCAGAGGTACTGTGCGATATTGTGCTGTTGTCGGCAATGAAATTTCATCTTCGGACATTGTCTGCACTGATATGTTATATGCACGTCCAGGCACGAGCCCTTTAAATGCTGCTTGTGCCGGACCGGGCGGTTCACCCTCCTTCTCTACGTACAACACACTTTCGAGTGCATCTGGTGGCTCAATGGACACTTTATAGTGCGTGTAAATACCGGCAGGATACGGTGGTTGCCAAAGCACAAGTAAAGTGGTTTCATTACGAAACCAGACTATAAATTTCCCTGGAGTGTTTGGCTCTGTTGTTGTTCATGTTTGTAGTTGTTTTTGATGTTGTTGTTGATGTTGATGTTATTGTTGTAGATGTTGTTGTAGTTGTAAGTTGCATTGTTTGATGAAAAATATGTGGTGCATCAGGCAGAAATAGAAGCAGAAATGATATATGTATTAGTTGTTGTTGTTGTTTTAATTGTTTAAAGGATTACTAAAATTGCTGGAATTTAGAGTGCAATTATTTTTGCATATACAAAAATGTGCTGAAAAGTGATTTACAATTAATAAAATCACATATCACATGCAGCAACAAAAAAAAAAAAAAGTAATGCATAAAAAGTGAAAATAACAAACACAAGAGATTCTTAAATTGATTTAGAGATCATACTTACATTTAAATAATTATAATAAATATATGAAATAATGAAGATATGAAAATAGAAATTAAAAGATTTACGACACTTCGACTAAAAAACCATTTTATTTAAATATTTTAAAGGATAACGTGTGCAATAATAAAATAAATTAAATAATTTCTGTGTGAACTAAACAAACTACATTTAAGTATAATTAAAGCTTAATTATATAGAGAGTATAAGCATAGATACACATATTGGTTATATTTAAAATGTTATGGATTTGTAGTGATGACCACAACTTTTACCTCGTAAGATTTTTATATCCAGCAAATCTTTATGCCGCGTCCTTCTACCTTTTAGTGGTTAACAATAAAATTAATTTTAGTTACAAAACACATATTGGATTACATTTTAGTAAAATGTTTTGGTTTTATTTAATATTAAATATTTAAATAATTATAGTGTTGAACCCAAAAAGCCACAGGTTAATTGTTAAAGTTAAACATAAAATAGACATAAACAAAATAGTAAAGCAAAAATAGTAATAACCCAACAAAATTTTGAAACCATTTCAAATTAATATTGACACTTATTTGGTCTTGGAGTTCCTTTACGAGACTTACTTGTAGTGAAGTTACGACTGGTGTATGCAACTGACTCTTTATTATCATAAATTGTGTATGCTTGCACTTGATATGTGGCACCTGGTGTCAGTTCCTTGGCACTGTGTTGGAGTGCATTTTCCACAAGAAACGTACGATTATATGAACTGGAAGCTTCAGAAAGACCCAGCACTTTTATTTTAAACGATGAATAATTGCCTTGTATAGGCGGAGACCAAGAGATTATGGCATTTTTACCGCTACGTACCTGCACTGATAAGTTCGAAGGCGGATCAGGTGCTGTAAATGATAAAATAAAAAGTATTTAATTATATTTAAATGGATTCCAAAATTAGGTTCATAAAAAGTAATCTATATTTATATAACTTTATATTAATTAAATAATCTATAATTTTTGTTGGTTTTAAATATTTTTTTTGTGATTTATTAAAACACTCAACTTAATTCGTTTGTGTTTAAGGTAAAAGTTAGTAACTAAAGTGATTTTTTATGAAAATTGAAAAAATGTTTATAGTTGGCCTAATAGTAGATAAATAAAAGTTCACAAAAATAAAGTATATTTAATTTGTGTATATCGGATTAGGTTTACTGAAGCTCACGTATATATTTTCTATTAAAGTATTTTAATTAATCAGTTTTCTGATTATTTAAAATGAATTGTTGCTTTTTTATTGCATATTTATTTTTATTTATTTCTATTCATTTTACTAAAGTATAATATTGAGCTCCGAAGCTCCAACTGCATCGGTGGTTCAGTGGTAGAATGCTCGCCTGCCACGCGGGCGGCCCGGGTTCGATTCCCGGCCGATGCAAAATACTTTTTTTTATTTTATAATTTTCATTATAAATTTAATTTATTTGGGAAATATTTCCGATTTAAACCTTATGTATATAAAATAATAATGTCTGAAAATACAAGATACTTTCTATTCGTAAAGAACTTATAATTAAAATTTATGATTAAACAAAATAAAAAATGTATATTGCATCGGCCGGGAATCGAACCCGGGCCGCCCGCGTGGCAGGCGAGCATTCTACCACTGAACCACCGATGCGCATGAGCGAGTCTGACCAAATATGGAATTTGTTATTGTATAACTGCGATCAGTAACAATGCATGAGATCATTCCTTTGTAACCGAAAATCTTAAATTGTATTGGAAATAATTTGAATAAATTTTTTCTAAATCGGACATTTATTTGAATATATTGACTAAAGTATTATATATTATATTAACTACTTAACTACACCTTAGGCAGTTAGCAAGTTGCGGCTGGTGACAATCCATATGTCACCCCGCCATATACAAAAAAAAAACATTTTGAGATTCGATTTAATAATATTAGTAATTAACATTCAAGATTTCTAAAAAATTAATTAATTAATTTTAAAGCTTCCTTGCTATTTTTTTGGTTTCAGTAATTTTAATCACAGGTTTTTTTAATGCTGTTTGCTGGACGCTTTAGATGGTTTATATATGAATTTATTTTTATTGAGCTAACTGATATCTTGGGTAATTGGAATGAAAGGACTTACTTTTGTAACTGATATAAATTTAGTATAGTAGTGTGACAATTTCAATTTATAACTAATGTAATTATTTTAGTAAATAATGTATATTGAGTATATTGTCTTGAATCTGAAAGTAGTTAGAATTAGAAGTTTTTTTGCATATATTTCATAGTTTATATCCTATGGATTCAATTTATAACTGGAAAAAATACATCGTTTCGTTTATATTATTTTGATATACGCAATACTAAAACTAAAGTCAAAACCATGTAAGTTCATGTCATTGTAAGTTTATGTTACTATGTCATAAAACTTTATCTGACGGATTAGAAAATCAATAAAAGTAATTTAATCTATATATATGTATGTCTCTTATAGAAGATATGAATCTTATAGATAGAAGAAATCTCATATACACGTATATGAGATTTATATAGTTAATGTAATGAAAAATTAAATTAGTGACACTAATAAATTATTAAATAGCCACAAAATGCAGCAAAGTTTTAAGAATATATTTCGTTATATATAAAAAGAAAATAATATAAAATGAATATTAAAAAAAAAAAAAATTGCATCGGCCGGGAATCGAACCCGGGCCGCCCGCGTGGCAGGCGAGCATTCTACCACTGAACCACCGATGCTCATGCCAATCGTCAGCTAAATTTAAGAGTGGTTTCTGACGCAAATGATTTTATAGTCCGAGTTTTATATTGAATTTAAATTAATTAATCAATAAACAAAGAAATTGTTTTAATTAAATTATATATTGCTTTTAAAATTAACTTGAGCAGTAAATCCGTGATTTGATTAGATTCAAAACTTGCAACAAAAATATTTGAATTACAATCATCGTTGAGAATATTCAAATAACATTTCCGATTCTCAATCGATACAAATAACTTCGTAGCAATATAAATAATACACAAGAGAGGTATTTATTGTAGCTTCCTATTGATATATGAATATTGAAACATCTTGTGATATACAAATTCAAAAGGAATAGAAGCTCATAAATTTCAATAAGAAAAAAACTTTCCCCAAATTTCTGTTGAATAATTAGGCTGCTTTCACGTTCTGAACACGTTAAGTATATGGGAAAGTAAGTATCGTGAAACAAATTAGACCCCTGGGTAATTTATTTGGTGTTTGTTATTAAAACTTACTATTTGGATTAAGTTCATTGAGAACTCGTAACGAACTTTAGTGATTTTTTAAAGGAAAAATCAGCAGAATTAGAAAACGTTTGCTACGGTATGTATGTAGTCACCCCACCTGTCATTAGCTGTTTCCGAATTGGTGAGGGTGTGGTGTGGTATGGTGTGTATGTACATAATGCAATACCCGCAGGTGTTGTGCGTTTACATTCCTTCTTCAGGTTAAGACTTTAGCTACGGGTTCGAGAGTTTCGGTGAGAGAAGTGTTTATTCGTCGGCAAGACAGACGATGTTACAAATGCGTTTGCATTTGTGTCTGTTATCATAGCAACCCACATAAATCATTTTCCTTTTACTTTGGATTATATTTTGTTTTTGTTGAAAAATTGATTTTTTCTGAATTTGTCTACTTAAACTCAATGAAAGGCTTAAAAATTTAGTATTTTGTAATACTATTTACTTGAAAGGTAGTTGAAAATGGTAGTTGAAGAGATTTAGATAAACTATGTATTAATAGTTACTATCGACAGTGAATATTCTCGTAGATTACTTTAATTTAAGTGCTCTAGTATATCTACTGAAGACATTCCTCAACTTTTTAAACTTCTATCGAGTTTGTATCGTTAGGAGGCTTAGCAAGTAGGTTTTACTTGGACTAAACTAAGTATATATATATTCTATACTAAAGTATATTCACGTACAGATTCTCGGTAACAGTACTAGTGATTACTTATCGAAATGCTAGCTATTCAGCTAGTTCAGCCTGATGATTGCGACTTCTATTTCGGTTTCTTGGGTACCCTGATTTGATAATTGATTGTAGTAGTCAGCCATTTCTAGCAACTTTTTTCACTGCACTATATGTTGATAGCTTACTTCTTGAAATTTAACTAAATTTGTAAACTTTTTACATTGATTACATTAATAAAAAAAAATTACATTAACCATCTAGCGCTAATTAGTAAAAAACTAGTGACAAGTAGAGACCCCAAGCGGCAGTCAAAATAGCCGTCTACACTAAAATCTATTATGAAATAGCGCAGCCTGGATTGCGACAATCGTACTCATCGTTTGATCGATTTAATATATATCGGACTTGTATTTCGTTACGGCAAGTTAAGCATATTTATGGTCTCTTCTTAGTCATAAATTATTGTGAAAAATTCGATAAATCGTATATAAATAATCATGTACATTAAATCCTACATTTAAAGTCTGACAATTTTCTATTTTTATATATAAAAATGAAGAAAGAAATTATTAGTTCGAACTTCCTACTTGTTTTCTTTTTAAATGCTACTTGTTTGCTTTTAATTTAAATTTTTTATATAGAATAACATATCAAACCAATTTTCTTTCTCTAGTCTTTTTTCAATTATTTTTTCCAACTATTAGTTATAATAAAAACTTACCCGTTGTAATGGTCACCGTCCACGTTAACCAATCATGGTGCGTGAAATTTGTGTAGTACAACCAAAAATTGTACTTTGTGCCCGGCAAGGCACGCGAGAATTGAATCTCATCGCCAATATCCCTAGAGGCGATTGTTGTGTTTGGCTCGGGAAACCCGTATGGCGGACTATAGTCTAGACGATAAAAGGCATCGTCTAATCCTTGATTATTAGGTATGCTTATGGCTAAATCCGCACAGTTGACATGCTAGAAAGAAATAAACACATATGGAAATAGAAGAGGTTAGTGTAAGAATAAACCGGAAAAGTCATTTAATTTTAAATGTCAGAAAAATATTCAAAATGAACAGAAATGCAACAGAAATAGTCGTTGCATGCAAATTGTACAAAAAGTCATTAAAAAGTTATTTATGTTTATATGCTGGCACGTGAATGCAATTTTAAAAGTTCCTAGCTACGACAATTGGCTTAATAGTTCGTAAATGAAACTTTTAATTAAAAAATTTTCAAAAATAGTCACGTTAAACAACGATTGTTGTTAAATTAACAAAATTAAAGTTTTATTTATTTGTTAAAAACTGTAGTTAACGTTATTGTTATTGCTTTTCAATAACAATAAATATTTTAATATTTAACAAATGCTTCAGTTTTAAGTAGGCTTAAAATATTTAAATTTAAACACGAAAGTGCAATGACATTATAAAAAGGTAAAAAAACACTCATTAAAAAGATACGAATATTAAATTATAAGCGAAAATAGAACCGAAAATTCAACAATGATACGACAAATCCACTGGCACCTAAAAAGCACATAAAAGCTATATAAGAACAAGCATTGAGAGTGTTCTCCGATACACCCATATTTGTTACAAAAAAAAAAAAAAAATAAAAAAATACACTGAAGGTTTGTAGAGAGATACATATTTTATGTGACAATATACTTGTGTATAGAGGAGCAGTGATGAAAAATGTTGCAGACTACAAATATTAACAGTGCAAACAATGGCGACACATTGCATCTGGAAAAGTGATAAAAATAATGGGATTCACAGTACCGATATACAGACTCAAAACAGAAAAAAGGATAAAAAATAGTCGAAAGTGCATACAATGATTACTGCAAATGCACAACCATTGGAGAGGCAACATTAAAATAGCAAGGAATTTTTAATACATTTTGGCAAAAAGGATACAGTTGTTATTTGTCTGTGCATTGTCGGATTTGAGTGAGAAGTCATTAACTTTTTAATTACTGATGGATTATGTTTGATTAAATATACAAAGCTTAAGGTAGTTTTAAAGTCTTTTGGGTACTTAGTGGAATATATTTTCATTTCAGAAGATAATATAAGAAATATTTGACAGAACTTTATTTAATTTTTATATATTTTATCACAATCACATAAAGTATTTTAAAAATAAGTCATATCAGACGTCATATAACCGTTTCTGTTACTCATGGAATCAAACTAAGTCTACAAATGAATAATTTCTACAATTCACCTATATATTCAATTTAGCAGCAGATTATAAAGAACTATCTCACCCGCTATTAGATATACTAGGTAGTTGAGGACAGTTCCCATAGAACTTTTGGTCTCTAAAAGCTCTTCAACTTAAGTTAAATTTGATTTAAAAAATCCCTTAAAGCTATTGGAACATATTTCAAATACTCGTTTGGTTTTATATATTACTGTTCTTAGCGATACTACTCTTTAAATTTTAAAAAACCATTGATTATGTATAAATACCGAAAAAAAAAGTTTAATAAAATCATTACAAAATATAGTTTCAGTTCTCCATTTAATAATAAAGTGCAAAGCGATTAGAAGTACTTTTCGACTGCCACACATTCTCTCTTACGAAGAATGCGGAGAATGGGGAACGGACTTATAGAGCAATTTTAAAATTTGTAAACTCTTAGTGATAGTCACTCTTTGTAAGCTATCTTATGTAAGAACACTGCTTTTATAACTTTTTATGAAGTTCCCAAAAGAAATAAAAAGAAGAACAGAGACTCTATATAGACGGTTCAACATTTGAAAACGTTTAAAATGACGTTTATTGACTCAAATTCAATACACTCGTTCCCACAATTTTTTTGATTAGAAGTATACCGTTGTATATTGTAATTTATAAAGAAATAGATAGATATACTATTCAAATCTATGCTATAGATTGCATAGATACACCTAAATATTTTGAAGAGTTAGATATAAAATCCGAAGTTGGTATCTAGCAGCATGAATATTAAATCTAAGTGAGCTACTACGTAACGTTTTGAATAAATTAACACTTGTCTAGAGATCTAGCTCTGAAGAATTTGACTGTAAAATGTGGTAATTTATCTTATAAGACCTGATTTTTTTTTTGCAGAACTGCAATCAGTTTAAGTATGGTATTCTCTAAAATAATATTTGACGATGATAGGTTCATTAGTCTAAACACATCTGAACACTGATGAATCATTGGTTTCCAGCAAAACAATTATTCGTTAACTATAATCTTTGTTCAAAGATCCGATTAAAGAAGACATAAATTGCAACGTTTGAATAGATATTATTGGACTTCGGTATTTTTTAATACAATATCAATAGTGATCAAACAGAAATTAAATAAAATTTAATAAAGAGGTTTTTCAAACAGTAGTGACTACAACAACAAAAATTCATTTTATATTATTTTAATTAATTGAATTTTTGGCTGACCATACAGATGTTTCGAGTATTGTCAAATACCCATCATTGGTGGTCTTGGAACTAATTCTTATATTTATTTATTCGTAAATAATTTTTTTGAGACTGCAAGTACCAGGAATCGAAGTTATGCCCTGTCAAATTTGAAGTTTAGAGTCAGCGCACATTTGTTGCATTATTTATAATATATTATATTATGACATGATATATATTATTATTATGTTGAAGCTAGTTGAGTCAGTGCACTTGAGCAGTTTTACTCTGTATTAACTGCGAGGTTTCGGAAGAGGCAATAAAACTCTGTAAAGTAGGTTCTATGCTACTTATTATTGACGCAAAGACCTACTCTAAGCTCAGAAGGGGGCATAATAGACTCGACGTTCGCAGTGCTACATCTCTTAATAATAATAATAATAACTGCGAGGTTTCTTCAAAACCTCTCTCTACGCCTTGACTGGATTATTGTTTATCCCTTCATCAGACTAAGCAATAATTCACTTCAGATCTGCATACCTTCCCGAGGAGCTTGAAACCATTCTTAGATTCGATATATTATATATATACATATATATGTTATATATATACATATATAAATTATATATATACATGTATATATTATTATATGATATATTATTTATGATAAAAAATAAAATAATACAAAAAGTGTTAGTTATTTTCACCAAATATACAGAATAAGAATAAGAGAAAAATTTCTGTAGCAAATCTCTTTATAAATTTTTTTGATATTAAAAATTAAAATTAAATATGTATGACAAAAATTAAGCGATTAAAATTCATAACTTTTACTAAAATGCGCATTTAATTAAAATTTCAAGTAAAAATGCTAATTGATGACGTTTGCCATACAAATTAGCAGCCATTAATTATTTTACTTTAAAATTAGCGTGACAATGATTTATTGTATTAAAAAGAAAATTAAAAATTCTCTTTCATATAAACTGTTTATATTAAAATACAATGTTTAAGTAATTTAATATATTTAATTTTTAGTTCATTTTCGTAGTAGTTAGAGTATTTAAAGCCAATGCCACCACGTTACTCCATTGAATATTGGCAGATAGATACTTCAGTGTTATGAGCACTCAACTAAGCGAGCAATAACTCAAAAAATATCAATAAATTTTGAAATGCATTAAAACTTGTACTAAAATTCCAAATTATAGTTTACATACTCCGAAACATAGTATATATGGTATATAGTATCTATTTTACATGATTGTAGTTTTCGTAGCTGTTGAACTCGAACTTCGTTCTATTTTTCGCAATTTGCAACTGAAATAAGTCGAATAAAGTTGCTGGCACGTTGCCGTTTTATGGTTTTATGGTATGTGCATAAAATACACATAAATTGAAACATTTTACTATTATCAGACTTCAGTACCATTTAACGCTCTTAACTGCAATAGTGAACTGACTGAGCACATAGCTTTATTGCATTTCTAGGGTAATGAAACTACAGTATTTTCCTTCATCATTTAGTCAAAAATAACAATTTATGCTATTAGATTTTTTTATATAATTGGTTTTTAAGCCAATGGCACTCGTAAGCGGCTTAAAATAATTCCAAGCACTTATAAATGTAAAAGTAATAAAATATTAATAGGGTTCCTTCTTTTTGCTTTGTATACTTGAGTTCATAATTCCTTGATGCACCTGAACTAAGAATTAATGGAAATTATAATTTGCACTGCATTTGATCTCTTCCATTTCTAAACAATTTTGGTTAAATATTCTATTTTCAGTCTGTTGCGGTTACACATTTTGTTAATTTCCCGTAAATACTGTTGTTTAAACTACAAAAGACAAAGCATCACCTCCCTACGCCCACAAATAGTTGGAAAATTGCTAACGTCACTGCAACCGCTACCGAAAGGATAAATTTGCATATTTGCAATTTGTAGTAGAGAGGAGGTGGAAGTAGTCTGAGGGGAGAGTATATTGGTAGAGTATATTTTTAAACAAAAAACAAACAAAAAAAACAACAACAATGCAACATCAAGTGCAGGCCAAGTGTTATGGAGCAGTAATGAAAAAGGGCTAAACTTGTTGACATGATTGTTGCAAGTTAGTAGTGCAGTGCAGTGCAGTGCAGTTTTAAAAATATTCGTCGTCGTACCCAAAGCATAAATTTCATTCTGGGTATTGCATTTTCAAGTTTAAATGCGCCCACACACCTACGGAACGTGGCGAGTAAATGAAATTTGTCATGCTAAAGTGCATGCATTCACATGCATTAACTTGTTGCAAAATATTTCATGGAACTGCGACTGAGAATACCTGTCTTGGTTGGAATGTGTCACAATGTGAAACAAACTGAAATATTTCATATACTAAGTACAATAACTCAACAAGAATAAAACTTCTACTCTTATTTAAGTTATTCTGTTGTTGATTTCAAACTATAATTTAAATAAAAAAAAACATCGTTTATGAGAATTTTTGTTTTAATTTACTCTTAAAGAAGTTTTAATGATGTTTGCGTAACGTAATTGGCATTATTAACATACCACCACAAATATAATTACAGAAA